AGGAGGAGGGAGCCTGTAAAGGCGCAGAGGTAGGCTGTGACGAGCCAGTTTCTCTTGTCGAAGCCGCTCAGATCGGCCGAGTTGGTGACCAGCGAGGTGCTGACGATGGCGATCTCGACCGTCGGTTCGGAAGATGCAAATGCATAGGCTTATACAGACGAGCAACAGCCGAGCAACAGCCGAGTGCTAGTGAGGCATCTGCTTGGTGGAGTTTCTGCCTGCTCCTTGTTATCGTTTTCATCCTTTTCGTCACCCTTCTGGTCGGACTCGCCAGTGGTATCGGGCACCTTTGGCTCTTCCCGAGATGTGACGGAGTCGTTAGTAGTTCCAGCCATGTCGACGGTTTGGGATTCAAGTTGACACTACCTTAGACACTTGTGGGTTGACAAATGTATCAGAGGAAAAAAGGACCGCATTCTGATGAAGTGATTAGTGAATGAGGTATGGGCTAGTGAATCAGACCTTGTAAGACGTGAATACGGCAGGGTTCTATAGAAGTGGTATATATACAGAGGTGAGCATGTGCCAGAGCATGAGATGCTCTGGTTGAGCCACAGTGGTATGCTCCTATGTGGGGTTCAGGGGTAGTGAGCATGAGCCACCATTCGAGGTGCTCGATGCCCCTGTCCTTACAGGGGGTAGTTCTCGTCACAATTAGTAACCTGAAGACAAAGTTAGGCACAGGGGTTGCATAATATGTGCCGACTGCCGAAGGACTCTCTAAGAAATCAGTTCCATCCCTGCCGACATAAACCCACCTCATTTTTCGCTTCGCCCGCCCAGACAAAGCAGCAAACGCCAGACGCTGCTGCAGGGCATCCTCGACGGAGCGCCCTCAGCAGCAGTCCGCCTCGCCGTCATGCCCATCGCCTATCTGTACGTGGCGCTCGTGTGGGTGGCCGTGGCCGTGCTGCGACTGCCCGACCACATCGGCGACCTGGCGCCGCGCGCCCACAACGACCCGGCCCGCGTGCGCGAGGCCCGCCGTGTCTACATGTACGGCCACCAAGACCGCATCACCCCGGCCGCCGGCGTGGAGCGCCACGCCGACGAGGCCGAGGCACAAGGCTTTTGTGTTCGTCGCGAGGTCTTTGGGGGGCACTGGTCATGTCGCCCACGCAAGGAAGCATGCTGATCGCTACTGGCAAGTCGTCAGTCGGACCTGGGAGGAGGCGCGGCTGTAGGCTGGAGGCCCCGGGTGAGGCACATGTAGTACGACAAGTGACTGGGGGGATTGTTTTGCTTTTGGGGGCCATTGATGAAGGTAGGTGCTTGAACCATACAGGTTACTAATTAGTATTAGTGAACATGCCGTGCCTGGTTGATGATACCGTTTTAGCTTTCATCGAGCGCCGTTGATAAAGAAACTGCCTTGCCTTTGAAATGGTTTCACCTGGTGCTACACCAGTTCATGCATTGCACAAGGGGGTCGGTTGCTCGCCAGTCGACATACATGACCTGAAGCCCGACCATTGCATGCTCTCGCTATCTATTAAATCGGCCCCCAAAGTTTCGGAGCCTGAGAATGCATTGTCTTCCCACTGGCCACGCTGCCTTTTTGCTGCTCGGTAATTGCTGGCCGACACGAGTTGCCACCACGAGACTGCCACTGCTGCTGGTTTCCATCTTTTCAACCTTTGGTCCTTGTACTTTTGGTCTGCCTCGGCAAGGACACTGAGTACATCATGTGCGGAGCATATTTTGTTGGACAGCCAGGCGGCCTTTTCGCTTGGTCCGAACTCGAGCCGATGAAATTCCAGTGCCTTGATGTATGCCTGCTCTGTGACCCTTACCGTATCCGGGCCGCTTCCATGGATACCTCGAGGTGCGGGCATCCAACAGTCTTCCCTTCGAGCCCTGGAGTACTACGACGGCATTCTCATTCTGACTACCAACCGTGTGGGCACGTTTGACGAGGCTTTCAAAAGCCGAATACACCTCGCACTACGGTACTTGCCTCTTGACGAGGAGCAGCGCGTGGAGATTCGGCGAAACTTCATCCACATGCTCTCACGCACCAAGGAGCGCGTCGACATCAACGATTTTGGAGCTCAACGTACACAAGCTCGCACGAGTCGAGCTGAACGGACGGCAGATCATCAAGTTTGACGAGTATTTGCTCGAGCTCAGGGGGTCTGATGATCGATGGGCGGGTTGACAGTGTGAAAGCCCAGTTTTGGTGACTTTTCTCTTGGCTATGACTATCATTTCTGACAGCCATCAACCACATTTGTCAATCTTCCTGAGTATCCCGATCTGATGATCACCCTACAATACATGGTTTATTTCCTCTCTATGCTTCCAAACGAATGACAAACCCGAACAGTGCTGTGATCATATTCTGGGTTTAAATCCGCGTTATCGGATTAGGCGATTGGCTGATTAAACATGATCATCAGGTGCTGATGTACAAGTTGTTGATAGCCATCATCAATCAGCTGCAAACGTTAGTGCATATTCTACTTGCTGTGGGGTTGGTGAAGATCTAAGTGAATACCATGGCAGTGATGGTATTGATGGTGGCGGTGAAAGTAGGAATAATAATGATGATTGGGTCAAATGTTCAAGATCGTGAACACCTACCATCAAAGTTCCCAACTTGGTACTGCATCGGCGCCGCCGAGGACGCCGCCCCCCACCCACTAGGCCCGTTGATATACCTCCCAGACGAGTCATACTCGTTAGTCCGGTAGTACGGCGTGTAATTAGTATACGAAAACGGCGAGGGGGAGACCGCCACCCCCGGAGGCCACTTGTTCGAGTAGTCCTCCTCCTGTTGCTGCTGTCTTCCGGGTATGGGGTTATATGTAGGGACGCTAACGATGTCTTGAAAATTTAGTCTTGCCTGCTTTCGAAGCTGTCGTTTGGTGCGTTCGTCGGTTTTGTGGTGTGATTTCTTGGTTTGGTCAATGACAACAGTGGGTTCGCCACCTGTGATACTGATGGTGGAGCGTGCAGGACGCAGGTTACGGAGAAAGAAGGTGAATTTGGGATGATTGGGCTGGTCGAAAGAGGGCTGAATTGTGATGGTTGACCCTATATTGGCAATGAGAGGTTTGTCAGCTGGGTGCTTTAGGCAGAGGAGATGAAAAAACGCATGGGTCGATACTCAAGGGTAAAACACCTTTAATTTTTATCTTTCCTTTGGGATTCTGAAATTCCGACTTGATGCAAAACTTGGGCTTGGTCTTGTCCGCCTTTACTTTTCTCTCTTGCTTGCACTTCTTTTCAGCCGGGCACTCGTAGCATCGGCAGCATTGTTGATGCGGACAAGGTATGCAGTTGCAAGAGGTGTGGCCGTCTGTGTCATTATCAACCCGTTCATCTTTATGTGAGCCACTCTTGATCTTGACTTCATCGCACTTGGCGGTTCCTTTGCTGGAGTCATGCTTAAACCGAGCGTGCTTGCGTGGGCGCTGACATGGACCAGGCTCGTCTGCATCTTTGAGCCGAGACTTCTGGTGGTGTTTGTCTTTGATCGAGGGCTTAATAGACACTCGACATCTTGCTCGGTGGCGATGCTGCTTGGAAGACCTCGGCTGAAATATGGGTGGTTGGAGGATTGAACAGGTCGCGGCTTGATATGGTCTGTGGGATTGCTTGCGTCGCCAGTGCCGGGTGTGGCAGCTGCCAGTCGTTTTGTGAGATTGACAACGGCGACATCGACACTTTTCCAGGGCTGGAGACTTTTTGGCATGACAGAGTTTTGAAAAGCCAGCCCCCATGTTGCCCGGATTATATGGTCTTTCACCCGTGGTCGGTGCGAAAGGTTTGAGACATTTCGAAACATAAATTTAGAAGAGACATGCGGGGAACAAAAAGGACATGACGTTTGACAGGGCGGTTGATGTCTGTGTGCGATATAACACTGATATGCTTTGTTTTCAAATGATTCGTGCCGTGTATAGTTGCTTGCGGAATCGCGCATACAAGAGAGGACGACCAGTTACTGAGCCAATGAGACTCAAGTTCACAAAGCATGCGTTACACCTTTGGGCCGCACATGTTTGTTTGACAAGGCAGCCTTGGCACTACTATCGTACGTCAACACCACCTGGTATATGCACAACCACTGTCTCGGCACGAAGCTGGAGACAGAGGAGTATGCCGAGTTTATCCACATCATTGAAGTAAATTCAGAAACAAAACACAGATGTGCATGTGAACGTGGGAGCTGAGCCGGGTACAGCAACCACAGCCGATACAACAACATCGCCAACCGGCGCCCGCTCGCCGCCAACGGGTCGCGCGCCAGCTTCATGAGCGACAAGTGCATCGCCGCGCTCAAGGAGCGGACCGAGACGGCCTATGTGGTGCGGGGCAAGGTGCTCAAGTACGGCTCGCTCATGTCGTGCCAGGAAGTCTCTGTGCCCGAGGAGTGCGGCACCAAGATCGCGGGGACGGGGGTGGACCTGCCGAGCTATGCGGGCGTGCCGATGCCGTATTTGAACGGGAACGTCACCAACCAGGATGGCTACTCGTCGGATAATGAGACGACGGCGCAGAATGTGCGCGACATGTGGGACGGCTTGGTGCTGAACTACTATGTCATTGTCACCATGTTTGCGCCGACGGGCAATGGGAGCGAGAACTGGGATGGCTCGCCTGGAATGGCGAGCGTCAATTGCGTCGGCCCCACGGGCGTCGGCACTGGCAGACAGAGGGAGATGGTGGCAACGCAAGTGGTGGTGGCGGTGCGACGACAGCGACGGGCGATGGGGACAAAAATAATGGTGCAGCTGTCATTGATGATGTGGGCAGTGGTAGGATAATTAAGCCATGATAAGATTAGTAGTAATGTTGTAAGCAAAATGCAGTCAATCGAGGGAGGATGCACTGGCAAACATTTGCAAGTGTCGAATCATCCTCCAAATGCTTTATTTAGGCTCTAGCAGAGGGGAAATTTGGATTGGGTGAGTAGGTTCCTTGCTCAACCACGTGACAAAGACCATTTCGATATAGGTCGGTTAGTGGACCACAATCTCCAACAATATAAGATAGGGCGAATGGTCTAGGGGTATGATTTTCGCTTCGCAACTTTAAAACTGCGCTCTGTGAAAGGTCCGGGGTTCAAATCCCCGTTCGTCCAACAACATATCAAGTGCCACCATTATCGTGGTACTCTTTTTGATGCACAAGCTTGTAAAGTTATAATTAGCAATATCTTTTTTGCTTGGTCTTAAAACTTGAGTTTGATTTCCTATACCTTAAACACGTCACTGGTTATATTTGTATCCCACTAGAACTGCCCACGCTTTTTTTGCCACCTTATGTAACAAAAAAAAATGTCTGTCATAATAAAATGTTGTATCTGAGCTCCGCTTATCATGAACTTTTTTCATACCTCGGTCAACTTTTATTTTGTCGTGACCGATAAGGATATTTACTAATCATGGTACATATATGAAATGACAGTCACGCATTAGTGTTGTTATTAGCATTGAAAACAGCACTCTGCCTAATACTTATTATGTCAAACCCTAAGTATCAATCGTTTAGCAAAGTCTCTAAGAACATAAAGATATCAGCCCGCTTAGATACGAAGACTGAGAAGCTTTCACCATGACAGAGACCAGCAAATTCATCGGCCAAGCTTTACGCTTAACGAAAGGTGTAGAGTAGCAAATGTAAGTACGAATCAAATAGCTAATGGCGCGGTCGCAAGTCAGAACGAAATAATCGTGCTTCGAGTGCTTTGATGATTGATCTGTCGTTCATAGTAAGTGTAAGTAAACAACAAAACGGTATGCACACACGCATCTCGACACTTCCTCTCCTCTAGAATACTGCATATTCGTACATATCTTAATATCATAATTACCAAGAGTTAAGAAGACACCCCTCGGGCCGTTACCTTAATTAAGCAAGTCACTCTGCAGACTATATAGGCACAACAAACAGCATGCCTTAAAGTTCCTCAGAGAATGGCAAAAAGGAAAACACCAAAAGTGATGGCTTTCGCCGGGAATTGAGCCCGACGTGGGGGTCGAACCCACAACCTTGAGATTAAGAGTCTCACGCTCTACCGATTGAGCTAGCCGGGCAGGGTGCCTAGCCATCTTGGGATGTTGACATGTGGAACCGTACAGGGTCTCAAGGAGGGAGCTTGAGGGAATTAGGGGGTGCAGTGGAGTGGAGTTTTTGGAGATGAACTCAGTTCACTATCTTGACGCAGACAGTGTTTAAGATGGAACTTGACCAGTATCTCTTCTCCAGAAATGTCCGTGAAAGTTATGAATTCTCACACATAACCTAATAGTCATCGACAACACATGGATCAAGTGCCACTGATGCTCCGTCAACATGCTGAACATACGGGGCGCCATCGTATTCTTTCTGACTGTGTGAAGTAAATTGCACGTATATCATAACCCAACAGATGAATAGGTAGTTCTGCTTATACAAATTCCAAACTTCGACACCATGTCCTTTGAAAAACAGTAGGCCCATCCACTTTACCATCCCAACCGTCCTTAACTCAATGTACACCCATTCACATATACCTGTCAAGACCCTCGACTATGATCCCAGATAAATCCAGCTTTACACCCTTCATTCCCTACCAATTTCCCATTTCACATTACCCCTATCCATCATTCCTTGGCCTCCAAAGACCTACTCAACCCCCTTACTATTTTTCTCTGCCTCCCTTACACCCGCCAACTCCAGTGCCTCTACCAAGCCCTTCAACACCAGCGGCCTCGTCAGAAACAAATCGACCCCGCTCACAAACGCGTCCTGCTGGATATCCTCACCAGACAGCCCCGTCAGCGCAATCACCACCACAGGCTTCAGCCGATGCTCCTGCTCAAATTTGCGTATCCTTCTGGTCGACTCCAGTCCATCCATGACAGGCATCGAGATGTCCGTCAGGATGCAGTCATACTTGTCCGGTGCCTTGGTGTACATCTCGACCGCCTCCTGCCCGTTCATAGCCATCGTGTGCGGATGATCCAGCTTCGCCATGTACGCAGCAAGAATCTTGAGGTTGATCAGATTATCGTCTACGATCAGAATTGACGGCCTTGAACTATCATGGTTTGGAGCCGAATGGGTTGGTTTCTCCGCTGCCGCTGCCGCTAATACATCTGCCGCTTGCAGCACGCCCGGGGTTGCTATCAAGGGCGGCGACACGAGATCGGTGGCAATGTGCGTCTGAGGCTCTCCCTGCGCGGGGAGGACAATTTTGGCTGACAAGACTGGGAACTTCTTGGGCTGTGTCTTACCACTGGGTGTCGACTTGCTGGCGTCGGGAGCCCCGGCAGGGTCGGGTTGGGCGTTGCTGAGCCATGACGCCGGGGGGGCCGATGGTTCTGAAGACTTTGTGTGCTCAGATTTTGTGGTTTCTGCCAGCTCTGCCATAGCCGATACTACTTCTTTCCAATGAAGACGGCAGGTGAGCAGTGCATTTGCAAGCTTTCGTGGGCCAAATGGCTGGGCAAGGTATGAGTACTCGACATGCGAAGAAGACGAGCTCGGCTTGGCCAAGGAATACGTCGATGCCGAGTCTCGGCAGATAAATAGATGCGGGCAAGCTGACAAGTTCGGCATTTCATCATTGTCGACCTTGGACAAATCATCTGTCAGGCAGATATAAAAGTCCATCTCGTTCACAACCTGGGCCTTTCCTTCGGGAACCACATTCATGTGCAGCCAGCCATGACAGAGTTCCTGCATTAGCTTGATCTCCGACTTTTGCTTGGCATCTTCCTTCCAGAATCCTTCTCTAATCTTCTTCCCGCTGTCGAACCCATGGAGATAGACGCGGCACCCGGCCAGAGACTGTATATGTTGTTGGAATATCGCCTCATCCTCATCAATTCCCACACCACGAAGCAGTGGCATCGACACCGTCACCGTCGTACCATGCCCCACGCGGCTATTCACATCGATGTTGCCCCCAAGAGTGACCGTCATTGCCCGTACTAGGCTGAGCCCAAGTCCTGTGCCGGGAGCGAAGTGATCTTCCTGTGAGAAGGGAGTGAAGAGATGGTGGCGAAGATAGTTCTGACTGATTCCTTTACCAGAGTCAGACACGGTCAGAACAACCCTTGGCTCAGCACCAGAACTTCCAGTGGGGTCAGCCTCCTGACGCAGCGTTACTCTGATGAAGCCCTTCCTTGTAAACTTGAGCGAGTTGCCCAAAAGGTTCATGACGATCCTCCGAAAGGCGCCAGGATGTATTTGAAATGACCAGTTCGCCGAAGGGCCAATGTCCAGATATATACGAACCGGATGGGTGCTTTCTGTTTGGCTGTCTTTGGACGGTTGCATTGTTAAAGGCGTGTCGCTGTTCTTCTGCGAACCCTGCATGAAACAGTGCCATGCCGCAAAGTGCGCATCCGACATGTTTCGGTAGCTCCATCCTGCTAATACACTCTCGACAACCTCTTCGGCAAGGCGATCCAACTGCACATGTAGCTGCGGTGTGCGCAGCGTTGTGACTCTTGGAGATTTGCCCCTGGAGCGAAGACTATTCGGTTTATTCCGGTCTGCTTTCGCTACCCGAGCAAGGTTGCTAACTTTGCTATAGTCCAGTAACTAGGACACGCTGGTATTAGCACCAGTAATAGAAGATGGGAGATATACTAACATGGTCGATCGTATCCAAGAGAGTTCTCCCCGAGGTCTCAATAGTATGGAGCATGTTTTCCTGTGTTCTATTTAAGGTCGTGCTCCTCAATATCTCAGCAGTGCTAACAACGCCATGCAGTGGAGATCTCAGTTCGTGGCTAATGGATCCCAGGATGTCAGTTTTGGTCTTGTCAGCCGCTTTCGTATTCAAGCGGCCCACCTCGGCCATGGTGGCCAGACCAAACACCCTCAGATAACTGAGCTCGTTTTCCACCGTGAAAATGCGGGTTGGTGTCTTGGTCCAAGCAAACCCACCGGCAAACCACCTGTTCTTTTGACCATCGAACAATGGGACAAACGCGACACTTCTAGCGCCGGGGAACATCTTCAAGAGGGAAGAAGAAATGTCGTGGTAATTCCGCTGCCTTCTCGGGTTATCTTTTGGCTTCGTCTCTGCTTCAAAGACGTTCGTGTTTCCATTGCCATTGAACATTGGCGAGATGGGCGAGCAGGACCCGTCAATTTCCGACCCCGAATGCTCCGCTACAAGACCATCCTTCTCAAAATCGAAGATGCGACCATGGGGATAGCGTTGAAGAAGCTTTTGAAGCAATCTCTCGGGCATGGTGGTATGCTCATCGAGGGGCCGGTGCCCGTTGATTGAGGAGCTCGAGGAGGTCGAGAAGCCGAGGACATTGCATGTGGGTGGCTCAGTACTACTTGCTGGTCCGTCGGGTGGCTGGCTCTCATCACTGCTCGACTCTCCTGAATATGCTCTTTCAAGGATTGGAGGTTCAAAGAGTTCTTTTCCAATCATGCCTCCAAATGAACGGACGCTGGCGTCTAAGAATAGCACGCCTTCTACCTCGACTGACTCGCGAATGATGTTGGCTGCTTTGGAGAAGACACGGTCCACGTCGTTCTGCAGCTGATCCACCGGTGCCACACGACAAGTTGTGATATCAGTGGCTCGAGATGTTGACGAAGAATCCGAAGAGTCGTTTGAACCGAGTCGTTGTTTGGATATGACTTTATGGCGGGCCGTCATATGACTCGACTTGCCATTGTTGCCGAGCGATACCTGGAGCGTCTTGTTCAGAGCTCCTTCTTGCACGCCTAGAATGTCGCGGAATGATGACTCGTCCGAGCTTCTAGACCAGTTGGAAATGGTGGCCTGCCCCTCGACAAAGCTGCCAAGGCCGCGCACCATGCGTTCCTCCCTCCGATACCACTCGTTGGACCTCTTGGCCTGCAAGTGATCCATCATGGTCTTGGAGATGTCGCGCATGAATTGTATCTGGTCGTCGGTGAGCCCCTCGGGCCTCGGTTTGTTATCGAGAACGCAATAAACGCCAATGTTGATGCCCGTTGGCGACCGGATGGGGACGCCTGCGTAGAACCGCCTGTTCTTATCCCGTACATAGCAGAATCTCGGGTCCAAGTCCAAGTTGGGAATGACTGAGACGGGAAGACTGTCGGGGCCAAATCCATGGCTAGTTCCCGGCACGGCTGCTT